CGCAAAATTTTTGCCATTATTCAAACGAGCGATTTTTTTTGAACATCGTTCGGCTCTCGGAACGAATTAATGTGATGTTGAACTTTGAGTGCTCGGTTCATTTTCATTCTTTAATATACTTCACAGTGTGAACTTTGAGGAATGTTTTTGACGTCCGGAATGCCCGGAACATCGGATTTGCTTTGACGGGGCGGCCTATAATTAATTTCAGGGCTTCTTCGGGCCTTCGACTGTTTACTTATTAGCCACTGTTGATTGACAAGTGGTTAATGAGTGAACAGTCAAGCAAACGAAGAACGAATGCCCACTCCGATAACCAGAATATTTTATTTTGCTGGAATTTTCCACGTGAAAACAACACCAGTTTTTAATATTCATTTTTATTTATCACAAATCTTTCACAACATACATACACATCATCACTATTATACATTACTTTCATAATACAGTCAAAACATCCTTTTAATTACATAATAATCATCACAAGCTGATTCATTTGAATACATACAATTTTTATGAGCAACAATCAAAAACCAATGAAAGTTGTATGCGAATATTGATAGTTCTATGAAAAATCCTGTGAATGTAAATAAGTATCACAGATAATAGAATAAAACTAATATAGGACAGTGACAATTTCGTTAAATGTAAATTAAACGAGTCAATTTTTAATTCATTGAAACTGACCGGAAGGAAGACCGAAAGCTTTTCATAATATATTTATGAGTATTTAAACCGTTACAATATTACTTCAGTTTTTGAGTGCATTGGAAGATCGATTTTAAATTTCAAATAACTTGAAAATTTCCTTTAGATTTACAGCATCAGATTCGCTAAGTCATTACAAAATCACTGGGATAAGCACAAACATAAGGCATGAAAACAATTACTACTTCAGGATCACAATCCGCCCTCAGCTCCAGTTAACCGTACAAACTGGATAACTGGAAATCCCAGCCCCATATTCCGGATACCGAGTTTACAAGTATACAGTTATAAGGATATTGCAAGGAACAAGGTGAACGCCAACATTTAATTTCGCGGGTTTGCCTTCGTTGTGAGAACGTTTGAGCGCACTTTCAAATTGGGTGCAAAATTTTGTCAGTTTTTTGCCTATAACTCTGCCGAAAAACCACCAAATGAACAATTTAAATGTCAGAAATATTGATAAATGGGTCCCGAACTTAACCTGAAGTTGAAGTCCAAAATGATTCAGTACTGACCCAGTTTGAGCGCAAAACCGATAATGGGAACGTATCGTAAAAATATTTTGCCCACCCCTCACTTTTCGGACTTTTCATTCGGCAAATCGCTGCGTCGGCCCGTTCTTGGCGATGAGCCGAGACGCGTCGGCGTGAATGTCAGTTGCGAGCGATCCACTTTCATTTTACTTGTAATTTTTTAATTAATTAGTGGGAATTGTGTCAAATGGATATGTTATTTTTGTATTTTTCACACTGTTTTTTAAATTTTCTTTTTAAGCATCTTCTGTGTTTTAAGCTGCCTCATTTTAATGCTTATTAAAGCAATTTGAACCAGTTTTAAGACATTCAAAACAGCGTTGTGAGGAATTACTTATATTGCATTACTTATATTGTTTGAACGTTCAGTTTGTCCTCTGTTTTAAGAGGGTCAGGTCAAAGTTTTTTGCACTTTTGTAAACTACTGAATCCTGGCTACGGGAAAATATACATTTTGCTCGCTAATTACTTCTGTCAAATCAGAGAAAGTTCCAGCATCTACCATTCACTACTATTGAACATCACTACTGATTAGTGTTCGTCGGGGAGCAATTT